AGCACAGTGGGCCCAGTGTGGCGCCCTGAGTGACCCCCAAACAAAATCACACTATGCCCCACTGTCTCCAACAGAGACGGAGACCCAACACCACAACACAGCCGCTGATGGAGCTGTCAATCAACAGGTCCACTCAGCTAATGTTTCAACAGGGTGCAGCAGCTACACTAAGACACAAAGCCTCTTGAAAAATTTATTATCATCCATATAACTTCAGATTTTCAGTTTCCATCAAGAAAGTTGACTCTGCTGTTTTATTCTTCTGTTTTTCACTGCTAGCATCAAGACAATCCAAAACACTAACTTAAAGGGTTTTATTTAAATAATGTAATTGTGATTGTCATGTTTAGCCAAAGGGATTCTTTCATTTTTATCCTCTATCAGAACAAACCGGAGTATGACCAATATCTAACTATGTTTAACGTCAGCAGAACATTGGATTTATAAAGTTTGTTTGGATTTTGGAATTAAAACTGACGCCAAATACTCAGGAAGATAACATTACACACTTCCTGCTTGATTTTGATTTGGAGAAGGTGGTATGAACAAAAAGACAGCAGGAGGTGACAGAGTTGAAGGTGCTAACATTGTCATTGTTAGTGACCAGGATGGACAGGGTTAGAAACGAGTACATCGGAGGGACAGCACAGGTTAGAGAGGTGAGGCTGAAATGGTTTGTACATGTGCAGAGGAGGGAGGGTGGATAATTGAAACTGGCAGGCCAGAGGAAAACAGGAAGACCTCAGAGAAGATTCATGGATGTTGTTAAAGTGGGTGAGATGGAGGCAGATGATCCGCTGTAGTGAAGCCAAAAGTCAAAGGAGTTAATGTTACCAAGTCACAATGCATTTTTTTAACTCGAGGGTCAAGACATCATACCTCACTGGTCACATTTCAATAGTAGTAGTAGGAAAAAAAGGTTTATTTTACTCCATAGTACTACCTAAAGTACAACTCAGTGCCTGTTTTTCTGCACTTTAAAACTGTGCTGACAGACAGAGCCTCTTCTATTCTGTGTTGTGCGCTATTATTTAGCAAGTCACAAATGCACAACAACTCCTGTTTACGCTTGCTGGATTGCAAATCAGGTCTGGTGTGACTTCTGCAACTTTCCAATTTGGAAATTCAACTTGATGGAGCGTTCTCACTGAAAATTCCAGCTTTTAAACTTGTATCTGGTGTTTGTAGCTTTGTACTGAAAATCTTAGTTGTGAGAAGATTTGAAAACCTCGTGAAAAAAACCTGCAGATTCTATTAGAACAGGACATCTGAGGTGAATAAAGTCTGGGATAAATTTAGATGCTACGGCTTTTATTAAGAACAAATTAGCAGACCAAACCACAGACCAGTGATGCCATGCCCAAAGCCATAATAAAAATTAAAGTAGCATTACAGCAATGAAACGGTGAAAACATGAACCACACAAAGGGACAGCCCACATGAGATCCTGTGAAAACAGCATAAACTGAAGGTCAGAGTCGTGTTCCTACTAATCGTCCGACATGAGCTCATTCAGGAGGAGCTCGAGTTTGTGTGAACGGAGCAGTGAGGACAGTAGAAACAGTAGATGCATGAAGGCTTGTTTCCTCTGGCTGGTGCAGTTTTTATCATTTAATTTAACTGACTGACACACACAAACACACATTATAACCCCTCTGGGCTCTGCTTGACATACTTGCAGTGTGTGTGTGTGTGTGTTTTCCTGTCACAAGCGATCTCACCGGGACTCATGTTTAATTATCTACCCAGCATGCCTTGGTGCAGGGGCACAGCTCTTTGTCTAATGGGATGTGAAAAGAGACACACACACACACAGATTAACACACAAAATATGAGCACGTACATTCAGACACATGTTAACACATAGTGTCACACACGCACACACACACACACGCTCTGTGTGGTTAATTAGTGCAATTAGCCTCTCCACTGTCCAGAGCTGTGTGTTTTCAAGACTCGTTAGCTTGTGATGAAGGAGAGTCACTGTTTACTGCGACACACACACACACCAAACACGCAGCCAAACAAACAACTACACATATGCTAAACAATAACCAAAACAAAACGACTCGTACAAAAAATAAGAAGTCAATAAACTCACATGCTAAAAACTCTCCAACCAAAACACAAACCAACAGGAAGAATAAAATGCAAAATCAAATGTGCAGTAAACAAACCACAGAACAGAAGCTCAACAAATAACCAAACTCATAAACATACTGTGAACAAACTACTAAACACTCCATAAACAAATACCCGCACACACTGTCAATAACCCAGCAAACAAAACCTCAATAACCACTCAAACATACAGTAAACAAATTCCAAATACATAAATAAATAAACCACCAAACAAATTGAAGAACCAAAAGAATGCTAAAGAAAAAACAAAAAAAACAAATAGGGAAATATACAATTCAATTCTTATTTATATAGTGCTAAAATCACACCAGCAGTTGCTTCAAGGTGTTTCATACTGTAAAGTAAGGAGCCTACAACAATGCAGAGAAAACCCCAACAATCAGATGACCTTATTAGCAAAAACATGGTGACAGTGGGAAGAATATCTCCCTTTTGACAGAAAGAAAATCAACAGCAGTACCAAAATAAACATCGATTCTAAAAGTTCAAGCTTCTACCGAGCAACCAACTATATTCAGAACCAAAACAAACACAGTACACACATCCAGATCTGTGTGCCTGAGGTGACCACATTCTGTCTTTGATATCAGGCACCTAATTTGGCACCACTGACAACAGTGGGCTTTCTACCACACCACCTCACTGGGTTGTCAAACCTGTTTTGGTTCTCAGGGGGTGCTAAGACTGAAGCTCTGTTGGTGAAAAAACAGGTACAGGTTATCTAAAAAAGCAGTGATGCTGGTATTTCAAGGCAGGACATTGATATATATAATGTGTTTGAATGTAAATGACATGTCATTTCAGGACATGTTAAGGACACCATTGGGTCAAAATACTGGTGAAGACCTGCTTTAAATATGATGGCAATAATACAAAATATGCCATGCTTCTTCTTGAAGCCAGTCAGAAAAGAACAGTTTGTCTCTTTGAGCACCTAGGGTTGAGCCCTCTTCTTCTCTGACTTACATCGGCTCTCTGCAGCCCCTTAGCAACTCCGGTGGCGGGGGAAGGCATGCGTTTCCTGGGTCCAGTGGCCTCACATTTCCTCCCTGTCCTCTGGAGGACAGAAGGCCAGAGCCCTGCTGAGCACACACACCAACAAACATAGGCAGACACACACACCCAGCGACACCTCCAGGCTTTGTCCGGGGGCTGTCGGCCGTAGTCTGGAGCCCAGCCTCCCTACTCTCTCTCTGGGCTGGGGCAGGAAGGGAAAGCCCCCGGGACATTCCGTGATGCTAGCCGTCGCCACCACACCCCTGCACACACACTCACACTGGTATCCAGGAAGAGAGTTAATGAGATTCTGCAGGTTCCCACACTGACTGAAAACTTCTTTTTTAAACTTTTAACACTCACTGTTCCCACAGTTTGTCTCCCATCAAGCCTCCCAGCATCCCCACTTTACTCCACACACTACGCCAAATTTCATAATCACACAGATTCTTCTATCGGGAGACGATGGGTTGAGTCAGAGTTTAACAGGTGACTTAAGTGTAGAAAGTGCCGTAATCACAGTTAAGATCCAAGAACTATTGTGTGTCCAAGGGTAAAGAATGGAAAAGCAAAAAAAACAGCTTTATTTGCATGATTGTGTGCAGAAATGGTGATTTGTAAGAGATCAACAAGAGGTCTGCAGTAATTTTACATTGACTCAAGTAGAAGGGGCACTGAAATTGTGATTCTATTTTCTAATCTGTGATGTTTTGAAGTGAAAGACCTAAAGCAGCAAGAGTTCCTGCTCAAAAAGCAGGTACATAGAGGCCAAAGTGACAGATGAGTTGGGTTAAATCAGCGTAAAGTATTCCTTTATATACTCTGTCATTTTAACTTGGTTGGTTGCTTGAGGGTTGAACCTTGAACTTGTTAGAGTGCCTTTGAACGTGTAAGCATTGGATGACTGTCCATGTATAAAGAGATTTGTTTGAGGCCCATAGCATGTAGCTGACAGCTGATCACTCGTAGACACTCTGGTTGCATATTTTGTGCCCCATCATCTATCAATAAAGCAACATCCTTCACTCATGCTGGCATTCACATCAGTCCTTTACCTTGCTGACTAAAGACTTCTTAGTTACAAGTTGGTAGTCGATGAGCGTGCAAACCCAAACCGAACCACAGAAAGTCGAGGCTTCACTATGTTACTATGGTTATGGTTCAGTTCACTGTTGATATTGAAAACTACCTAAACAAACGATAATCTAAAGGAATCCAATCGAATCTAAAGAACAGTCAAGCCAAATTTAGATGAACGATTATTTGGGTGCCAGTAAAAAATGAGTGAGGCAGTAAGAAGAGTTTTTAACCTCTACTCTTTCTCCATTTCCTGCAACCTCCCATCTCACCCCTGAAGGATGTGTTGTTACTGGGTGAGAATAGAGTAGAGGGGCAAGGGAGGAGGGGGGACAGCTCAATATCTCTCCCCTAGGGCTGTTCGGCCCCCACACACTCCCTCCTCTCTGTCCTCTCTCTGGACTAATCCCAGCAGGCTGAATGAGCTGCTGTTTACACGGAGGGATTAGAGCAGAGATTAGAGCGATCAGAGTTGTGGATTAGACAGATCAGCAGTTAATGATACTCGATCGGCGAACAATGCGTCCACGTCCTTTGGCCTTTCACCACGTCTGTCCCTCTGCCTCTCGCTGTGTCTTATTTTACACTCAAAGGAAGAGTTTAAGGGCATTTAAGGGCAAAAAACGCTTGTTTAGTTGTTGTATTAAAGCTAAATTTACGTCCAAATCAAAAGCAAAAAAGTCTGTTTACAGCTTCATGTTTCGGGCAGCAATATGACACTTCATGCTACAGCCATTAGATAGCTGTCAGTTCTTAAAGGTGTCTGCTTCTCTTTTCTCCATCAGGGAGGAGCGTGAGCGCTGGATCCGGGCAAAGTACGAGCAGCGTCTCTTTCTGGCGTCGCTGCCCTGCACTGATCTCCCACTGGGCCAGCAGCTGCTGAGGGCAACCGCCGAGGAGGATCTACGTGCAGTCGTGCTCCTGCTTGCTCACGGGTCCCGACAGCAGGTCAACGAGACCTGCGGAGAAGGAGATGGACGCAACGCGCTGCACCTGGCCAGCCACAAGGGCAACGTGGTCATCACGCAGCTCCTTATCTGGGTAAGAAAAAACAGTGCTGGTATTCCAGTAATTCTGGGCTTTAGAGGCAGGAGATGATTGATGACTATCCCTCTCTGATTCTTTCTGCAGTACGGTGTGGACTTGATGGCAAGGGACGCCCATGGCAACAGTGCAATGGCATATGCTCGCCAGGCCAGCTGTCAGGAGTGTGTGGACACGCTGGCTCAGTATGGCTGCCCAGATGAACGCAACCCCCTAATGGCCACACCCAACCTTTCACGCCGCAACACCAATCGTAACAACAGCTGCAGCAGCGCCGGCAGTGCCGCGCTCATATGACCAGACAGTTTCCTGTGATGACTCTGAGAAAAATAAACAAACTTCGATTTGGGAGTATCCTGAACGTTTTATTTTGGGAACCACTACTTTAGCTTTGCCCACTTCACCTGACAACCACCAGTAAACTGATCACAGGTCAGTGGTGACGCTGCGGCCAGGCGTCTGTTTGGGAGAAGAAGTCTAAAGCATGTTGGGAAACATAGCCCACGATCATCAAAGCATTTTGGGAAATGGTCACACGACTTGTGCAGGTCAATGAGTTATATTGTACCTCGTCACACAGCCTCAGATTTCACACTACAAAGGCCAGTTCCCGCTCAGACTCAACAACAAACTGAACTGAAAGCATATCATCTTCTGTCCACAACCTGAAACTGTGAGATCAAATCAATGAGAAGGAAACTCAAGTCTTCGTATCTTCTTTGAGGCAGCCACCCATCAACATCATCTTCACTGCAAATCTCTCGAGGATTCTTTACGACCTCTTCACCTTCTTTCAGCTGTCATTTTTTTAAATTTTCTGCAAACCAACCGGCTTTACACATTTTTGTTCTTTTTTTTTTTAATGTGAAAAAAATCTTGATGTTAAAAAAATATATCAGCTTAGAGGTAAAACATAAGTGTGATAGATCGCATGTCCTAGACACTTTTTCTACTTTAATTTAAGGCATTTTTCTCGACTGTGTATATTGTATCTCGATGTGCATTGCTGGACCAATGGTAAAAAATGCTAACAGGGGAAGGGTTTTTGTTTTTCCTTTTTTTTTAAGCTATCGGGTGTATAAAGTCATTAAGTGTACAGAAGCTCTTGCCAGGCTCAGGGACTGGGGACTGTCGATCGTCAGCGCTCATTGTCTTTTTTCCCAGCGAGTTCTTTAGATGAAACAACCTGTTTTCACTTCACTTACTTCCGACTACATTCAGCACTCAAGTTGCTCAAAATTGCTGGCTTCACTTAATTGGTTGGATGCCTAAGGCATCGAACCAAAAGATCGATTGGTGGCCCTCTGGCAGCCACTGGTCACTGGTTGGCAACTGGTCGCTAAAGGTTGCTGGCAGTCACTAGGTGGTTGCAAAGAGGTGTACAGTACTGTACTGAAAACCTTCTTGCAATTGCTTGGAAGACTCTCCTTGTCTGCAAACACTGACCAATTACTTGCCCAAGCGATAGTAAAACTGCAAAGGGTGCGACAAAAGCTGGAAATGGGGACCATTCAGCTTCAACGTAAAAGTTGCACTTTTTTGAAACATGTTCGTTGCATTATTCATTAATCACCATAAGAGCAAAGTGGTCGATCGAGCGGTTGAACATTTTTCTGTATGTTGCCGATAGTTTGTGGCATAAGTTGGTTTATAAATTTGGTTTGCCATCCACATCCTGGCTCAGCTGGGAATTAACCTGCTGATGAGCATCTATATGTAGAATTTCAAACCTTTTCTTATGCTGAAGGTTTTATCGTCTGAACTGAGTGAACTGTAAGCATCTTAAACCCAAACCTGGTTTACATCCTGATGAAAAAGCATTTAATCTGAACTCTGTCCCTGAAGTTAATTTTATTAATGGAAAAAAATGGAAAAGATACAGAAGCAGCTGTCGGAGCAAAAAAGGGAAATTATTGTCTTCAGGTGTTTTTGTTTTGGTTTTTTTGGGGGGGGTTTTAATGTTTGCTATCTATCCAGACACAATGATGGGGAGACGGTTGGTGGCCCCTGCCATCACCGCCACTTTTTTATCTATCCCGTCCAATCAGGCAGTCTCCCTGATCTGCTCAGCGAATCACTAAGAAGGGCTTCTTTTTCTTCTTCTCTGGTCTGAAAACGTCTTTGTTGTAAATAATCCTCCTCTCTTTCTCTGTTGCTTTCTCTCTTTCATTCGAAGCATCATGTAAATTAGAGAACACAGTAAGTACTTAGAGTATGTGAGGTTGCAGAGTGGAAGTGGTTTATTCTAATGTGTTATGGTATGGTTTTGGCTCTGTGCTGAACCATGAAGAAACCAGGAAGAAAAACTTTTGCAGGTGTCTAAACCTGTGGTTCCCAACATGAGAATCTTTACAGACTAAAGGGTCAACGGACGGTTTACAGCAAAGGAAATTAGAAAATACAGATCCAAGTTGCTTTTTTAATGAGAAAGAACAAACCCAAAGGGAAGCTTATAAAACGTCTACATCTTCTCAAATTTAGGTCTACCCTGACTTTAACAAATGTGGTAAAAATTAAGTTAAGACGCAGTATAAAAGTGTTGAGTTTACTTTTGGGGGCATTTGGGGCCACAATAGCACTAGATGTGGTTGAGTTTGAGTCAGGCTCAAATCTGATTATTTAATGAGCACATGGACAAAGTCAAGCTGGACAGCGGACAGCATACATTAAGACTACCCTGAATGTTTATGGATGTGTTTACATTTGTCCAATTGGTCTGCATGGCCATTAACTGTTAGACAAGATGAAGTTTACTTCATACTAGCCCTTATATTTTAAAATCACCATGAGCTAGAAATGTTGGGAACCACTGGCACAAAGGTCCATTTGGATTAAATGATAGGGTTGCAGGTTGATTTCAGGTGTTTTAAAAACACCTTTCTTAATCCTGGTGATATAGATTTTTCCGTTGGTTGTTGAAATGTGTAGAATGAAGGCCTTCAGGTGAAGATAGTTGGGGAACTAGTTTCCCAAACTCAACATTTATGTGATGATTCAGACAGTATGCTGCTCCTCAGCTCAGATCTTCAACTTTCTCCTGTTTCGCCCTCTAATGTAAATGTTGCTGCAGCGGTTGAGTAGCAGCTCTCAACCCGACTGTGTATCCAAGCAATATTCATAAAAACCTTCACGCTCACATCCTAACTTTGTATGCTAACATCGCTTTAATATTCACATGAAAACACAAAAACACACTGTAGAAATGGAAGAAGGATCAAAAAGCAAGAAACAAATGTTTTTCTATCAACATGAACACATTTGTCCTCCTTTTGCCTTTTTTGTTTTTGCACGCCTGCCTTGATGTTCCTAATTTTTGTTGTTGCTATATGTGTCACGCTCCATTTTCCTTACCAGCCATTTTCAAGACACCATTCTATTTCCTGTAAATGACAAACCAAGACTATTATTTTTATTGGATGATTTTAGTTTGTTTTCATATCTGACCCATCCCACAGCTGTCCAGAAACAGGACAGGGAAAAAAGACGTCCATTTATTTATGACAGAAATGCACTAATTTACTGCTTTATTTCATCTATCTTAAACACAACTCTTCTACCATCTTCCTTTATGTTCTGTCAGTAACTGACATTGGCTTTTTCTAAGCGGTGGCGGCTTCAGGTTGTTTTCTTTAGAATAAAATTGTATTTATTTTATTTTAAAATCGTGTGAGCAGAAAAATTTGAATTGTAATTAATAATAATGCTAACTGTAGATAGTAGTAAACAAACTAACGAGAGCATTGCGCTAGAGTTTCCGTTTACAAGCGCTTGTTAATGCAACTAGAGATCAGTTAGCTGGTGATAGCTAATAGAGAGGAGGTGAACATTAGTTGTCACTTTGCTGCAGATTTATGCTCATTCAGGTTTGAGACTCAAAGCTAAAATCGAAAAATTGCTGAGTCATCTGTCACCTAAGCTAACACCTAGCAGTGAGCAAGCCAGCATTGTTTTAGGTTAACAGTGCATTTCCCCTTTTAAATATTAATCAAATAAATAGTGAAATAGGAATAGAGAATCGAAACATCGAGGCTCATAAGCTGTAGATAAGTTAACTGAACTAAGCTAAGTGAGGGGAAGAGGGGCATAAGCTAAACTTCCCACCATAAAAATGCAAACTGTGACAAACATTGTTTTAAAAAAGATTTTCCCAGCTTCCAAGTAAACAATCTAAGTCAGTCATCTGCTTTCCATTAGAAGTTTAGCAGAACATGAAAACAATATGTGGATAATAGAAACATGGTGTGAAGAGCAGCTAGCTAAACTCTGCTAGCAGAGCATATGGGGTGCTGTATCTCCTTGAATATGAAGACTTGACTCTTCACAGATGTTTCTGTTGTTCCGTTCACATTTTCTTAGTCTCATAATTGAGGAGAAAACATAGAAAATATCTGTTTTTGTGTATATTTTGAAGCTAAAACATGCTGTGAAGCTCCAGCTAGCGGTCAGTTAGCTCAGTGGCCAGTAGCATGGCGCAATATGTTTCCTAGCCTAGGATCTTTCGGCTGAAGCCGCCTGCGTGTAGATAAATTATGTCATGGTAACTGCGTTAATATGTCTGCACTGCTCTCGCCACCGCCAACACTTGTACATAGACATCAACAGAACGAAGAAATAATATGGTCAATGTCTAGTTGTGTTACCTCATGTAGCCTCCTTAACCCCACCCAACTGGGCTGTCCACTACATTATTTATAAATGCACCCCTCGAGGAAGACTCGGCCCCCTTAAACCTACATTTTTGTATAATTTTCTCCATCCACTTTTTATTATTGTTGTTCTGATTTATCATCCAGACACATTATTGTTCTTATTGTCACTGTTAATCTAATAATTATTATTATTGTTGTTGATGTTGTTGTTATTATTGTTATTGAATTTTTGTTTGATGTACAGTACCGTTGTATGAAAATTCTACCTAATACAGAGTCTTCTACTGTAATGTGTCTCTTTTCAATAAAGACAAGAATAATGCTTCTTATTATAACTTGAAGTGTGTGTGTGGTCAGTGTTTTTGAAGTGGATTTCTTCAATATTTAGGCATGTATTTCATATTTTCTTTCATTTCCTGGTCACACCTGTGGGAATTTTACTTTGGTTTATATTAGTTTTCTCTATTTGTGGTGTAGGAGGTGGCGAACGAGTATTACCATAATGTAAAAGTATACATAAAACCACATAAACCACTCTGATGTGGTACTTTACAAAGTTCATTAGTTCTGGTTAGCCCACAAATCATTCAAATGATGAAACAAGTCAAAGTTTAAGAATGGTTGAGATTTTGCCCCGCAACCATCTCTGAGGTTTGCAGAGAATGGGCCAAAAGAGTGAGGGTTACGGTTAGTCTAGTAAGCAGCAGTTCTTTGGGAGAAAATATATTTTCCCAGGTCAGAGGAGAATGGCCAGACTTCTTTGAAGGCAACAGCAACTAAAATCACCACTCATTGCAACCACAGTATGTAGACGAGCATCACTGACCACACAACATGTAGAAGCAGCAGAAGACCAAAGCGGCTCACAATTCACACATGCTCACCAAAACTTGACAATAGAAGATAAAAATAAATGTTACCTGGTCTGATGAGCCTCAGTTTCTGCTGTGACATTTAGATGGAAGGGTCAGAATGCGGTGTTAGATTTACACCAAAATGAGGTTTTACTTCTCACCACTAAAGCAGAAATTTTTCAGTTGTTGGATATGTACCTACTAGATTTTTAGCATCTTTCGTCCACTGTTATGGTATCTTCATCAGCAGGTGACACTCAAGCAAAGTCTCTTTTTGTTTATTTTTTACTCAAAATTATTATTATTATTCTATAAGAAACCTGACAATTTTTGAATTATTTAAATTTAAAATTAGGGATTTTTTTAACTGGAGTTTGAGAGACTCAATCATGTTAAAAGTTTTAGCTTCAAAAAGCTAAAGTTAACATTTTCCAGAGTGTTAAAGATTCAGAAATCAATATATTTGTTGTTTTGTCATTATTAGAAACTCACTTGTTTGTTTTCGGTTATTGTGTGATGGAAATCTAAAATGAGAGAAGGGATGGGGTTGTTTTTTAGTTCCTAAAAAGAGTTTTTATTACATCAAACTCGAACAAGTTATTGCTTGATGAAAATTTTAAATTAGGGATTTTTTCAGTGGGAGTTTTGAATGAGAGAATCTGTCAGCTTTTCCAAGGGCTTCTGGGAATCGTTTAATTACAGGAGTCTCAGTGATCTCCCTGTGGTGACCACCACAGAAGAAGAAGAAGAAGGAGAAGATGCGTTTTGGCCTCCTTGACGTCAGAATTAATCAGCAGGAGCTGAGCTGCAGCCGGGCGAGTTGGTGTTAATTCAGGGAGGCGGGGGTAGCTGGGCTGAGGCTGATCCCCCGGGTCTCATTTATCAGTCGCCTGCGACGGCTGGAGTTGATTACAATTTGCAAAAAAAGAAAAAAAGTCATTAGAGTCGCAGGCAGCGCTGACTGTTCACACTGTGCAGGGTCCAGTCCGGATTTAGGTTTCTGTCGCCTTAGTCTGAGCTCACATCTGGTTTTTATTGACACTTAGAGTCACATTAATTCAGAATTCCTCATCCACAGCTCTGACGTCACGACAATCATCACAATTACGCAACGGGTGAAGACAGAGCCTTTACTTCCTCGCTTATAACCAGGGTCCATGTAGAAACTGTAGAATTTAAGCGGGAAGCTAACGTTAGAGCAGAAAGAAACTAGATTTAAAGATGCAGTCATTCATTTAGATTTGGCCAAATTGCTAATTGTGGGTGAGATGATGGATTTGACTCAGGCTGCTGCACATGAGAACATTTTTTCTGGTATCGAGTGTGACGGTGCCAGTATTTTGAGGAGTAAAAGTGTCGGAAATGTACCTTTAAATTTCCCGCATTTCTGTATAAAAACAGACTAAGTAAACGTTAAATTACTGTAATTTTACAAGTGAAAACAACCCGAAGAACATTTGTTATTTTCTTCATTAAGAGTCTGAAATGTGCAATAAATTTTCATTTTATCAATATAATATACCTGAAAAGGCTTCAACATCAAAAAACATCACGGGCAACTGTATCCACATGTTTCCTTTTCTTCAAGCCACTCTGAAAATGGGAATATTTTAAGGGTGAGATTATTTTTTTTAATGTGATAATAGGCCTAAACAGCGCATGCGTCAGTGCGCACAGGCGCATCTACATCCAAACTGACTCCTGGGTTTCACTCTGAGGATTTAATTTTGTTTCAGGTAAACTTCAGAGCCAATCAGGACGCAGTTTCTGATATCAGGCGAGAACGTGAGGCCTCATGCCGCCCCCCACCTCAACCACCATCGCCGCCATGCAGGCACGTGCAGCTGGTGGGATGACGTCACGTTCAGGTGAATTTCTCCTCTTCCTTTTTTTGTTTAGCCGCTGATGTTTTAGGATAATGCTCTCGGTGGAGACGCCATGGCGCGCTCCCGTTTGCCTGAAACTTTGTTAATATGCTACGAGAATGCGCAATTCAGTCCGCGCAACAGGCTGAACACACATCAAAGTTTAACGACATTGTAATACTGTTTTCATTTTTTTAACAATTAAAATTTAAAGTGCACTCAAACTGCAGTTTAAAGCAAATTATAAATAAATACAATAAAACGTTTTAGAATTTAATCTTTAACCTAGTTTTTCTGACTCATTTCAGCTTTGTTGCGTTTCCTTCATGTCTGAAATCAGCTTTAAGGCCTTCAGAATAAAAAAAAAATAATCTAGACATTTATTTTGTAAAAAATACAAACTTCCGGCCTAGCTGTCATTGATGATGTTGGTAACAAAAAAAAATGCCCGTGTTTTTTATTTATTTAGTTTAACTAAAGTGGCAGGAAGATAAAGATGATTTCCGGGCATGAATGGAGACACTGCAGCTGTTCAACATCTGATCATCTTTTAATGCACACTTTAATTCATCTTTTTTTTTTGTTTCTCGTCACAAGTTTTGTGTAAATAAATTAGCAGCTTCATTCAATCCAAACAAACAGAAACACACGACTCCTCTGCTTGGTCCCGGAAGTATGTACATGTGGGGGTAGGAGGGGAGAGGGTGTGGGTTGATCAACATGTTGCCGAAACAACCCGTCAGTCTGAGTCTTCCTCCTCCTGCCGCAATTTTCTCTCTGTCTCTTTTTTGTTTTTGGTGCCGCTCAGTCACGCGCTCAGGCTTCAGGTGTTCTTTTATTTATTTATTTTTTAACTTCCTGCAGAGAAGAAGAAGTCCGGAGTCAGCCTCTGCAGTCAGTCGGGTTCCTAGTTTGTGGAGATGTCCACATGTTTTATGATCAAACCAACTCTGTTCAGAAAAAGCGGAATTTTCTTGCATCGGTGCCGCAGTTTGAAAAAGAAAAAAAAAGAGAGAAAAGAATCGCACCTCTTTAAACAGTGATGAATACTAATTATTTTCAGATTTTACTTTTTATTTTTTCTGATTTCTCACTTCAATGATGTAAAATTATTTTATAAAAATCAAATGAAATGTAATAAAGATAATTATTATCGCAAAGATATCCCGAAAGTAATAGCGATGCAGTGAGAAGATTTTTAAAGATTTTACTTCATGAAAAATAATCACATGATTATTTTTGAATTATCCTCCTTTATGTTTGAATTTGTCACATTTTCAGATCAGTTTCATTCACTTCATTTGATATTTTTTCTTTTCTCTAAGCTTCGATGAAAGAAATCTGTTAAAATAGAAACTATAAAAAATAATAAACCCATCACATTAAACTCATTCACGTTTCTTTCTTTTCTTTCTTTCCTTTTTTTAATGAGTTCTGCGATTTTTTAAAATCTTGAATCCGATATTTTCACAATAAAACAACCCCTCCCCCTTTAAACGCGGCTCGCGGCCTCTCAGTCCGGCCTCGGTCCTCCCGCTTCTTCTTCTACGGTCTGGCCTGCTCCATCTGCTGGTGCTGACTCCTTATTGCGAAGCGGCTCACGTGCACGGGGATGGGCACCACTATTTTGGGGTTCCGGGACGGCTCCCCGGACTTGTTGTTCACGTTTCCAGCTTTCACGCGTTTCCACTTCGCGCGCCGGTTCTGGAACCAGATCTTCACCTGCACTTCGCTCAGCTTGAGCGCATGCGCGATCTGGGAGCGCTCGGTGAGGGACAGGTACTTCTTGCAGTGGAACTCCTTCTCCAGCTCCAGCAGCTGCTCGCTGGTGAACGCCGTCCTCCTCCGCCGGTTCTTCCCGCCGCCTCCGCCCCCCGCGCCTCCTCCTCCCGTCCCGGAGCCGCCGCCGGGGGGCCCGTGCAGGTGCGGGCCTTCATCCAGACCTCCCCCTCCTCCGTCTCCGTCCTCTTTGTGGCACATGGAGGTGAGGTTGTCGTCCGAGCTATAGTCCAGGTCGCTGTCCATGGAGAAGCTCTCGTCCTTTCGGCCGCACTCCTCCTCCTTGGAGTCTTCTTTGCTGTGTGCTCTGACTGTGAGGAAGAGGAGGGACACACAGCACCACCAGTGAGACCAGGACAAAACCAACAAACTTTATCAGTTTAAGGCAGAAACAAAAGTGACAAAAAGTCACCAAAATATTTAAACGCGCTTCTTCCGTTTTCCCCTCTTATTTTCACAGTTTTGATGCTTCTTTACAAAAGATTTCTGATTATTTCATTCTGAATAATAAATTAAGCGACCCAATAAAATAATTTTCTCTCACAATCTGCACTTTTTATTAATCGCAAAGTTTAATTTACAGCTATTACATGTAAGAAATGAGCGAAAATGCGCACTTAAGATTTCTTTAAATGCTCCGCGTGTTTGGGGGGAAATTGATTAACATGTAAAAGCCAAAAACTTTATATTTTTCTAAATATGTTAAGAAGAAAAGTTCTGTGAGAGATATGTTAGGAGGAGATGCTGTTAGAATAATTAAATATGAGGTTAGATTTACATTTTTAATGCGAAACTGTGACGTGTGGAAGCTGAAGGGGTGAGGAGGGCGGTGGCTGCGT